GTCTCCTCCTCGCGGGGCAGCCCCACGCGTGCCGGCGGGGCGCGGGGGAGCCCCCCTCGGCCCCACCATCTACCGCCGTCGCCGCCGCCGCTGGGCTGCGGGCCCTCACCTTGCTCTTCTCCGTTGCCTCCCCTGCCGGAGGGCAGCGCCACGGCGGCGGGCTGGGTCCGGCACCGGCGGCACTCGCCGGAGCAAGGCAGGAGCTCGCCGGAGAGAAAGAGCCCCAGCTCGCCCGTCTGCAAAGGTGAGCGCTCCTGTCAGGCTGCCGCGCGCCGGCGGCCCCACCGGCCGTTGCTGACCGGGGGGGTGGGGGTGCGCCCGCGCGGCCGTTACCTGAGGGGAACGGGGAAGCGCGCGGGCAGACCGTTACTGAGGGAGAGGGTGGGGGGGGCGGCCGGACTCGGCGTGGCCGGGTTTCAGGCGGCGGTTACGGGAGGGGAGGGCTGGGGTCGGCGGTGCCCTCTGCCCGGCGGTGTGCTGCCGGGGGGGGAGGTGGGGACACCGGGGCTGTGCCTGGACTTGCGCCCGTTCTGAGCCTTCCCCGGCTGGGCGCAGCGCTCGTGTGAGCCTCTACTGCGTGGAAGGGCTTGTTGCTTTTGTTGCTGCTCTGTTGCTTCCTGGCTATCGGAAGAGGAACGGAGAAAGCCGAGCGCGCCGTGTGGGGGATTGCAGCCACTCCTGTAGCACTTCTGCAAGGACTGCCAAAGGTTTCCAGATAAGAGGCAGTCAGTGGTGTAAGAGATGTACTTAAGAGACTGCGGTACAAGCTGGAGGGGAATTTGGTGTTTGGGGGCTGCTGTGATCTTCTTCCCTTTCGGCGCATCTCATACCAGATGGTATGCGCTTGTGATCCAAGCGGTGTCCGCAAGCTTGGGATCAGAAAAATAGCCAGCGCTGTAGGCATTGCACACAGATGCAGGAACAAAGTGTTCAGTATCTCTCTCGGTAGTTAACTTTCAAGTGTGAACCCTGCAGAAGGATGTGTGAGCTTGAGAGTGATGACACTCAGGCTTGTGCTACAACAAAGGTAGAAAATAGCGTGGGAATGGCGTACATTTTGTAGCAAACTGCTTTTTAATGTTTTTGTATAATTAAAACATACTTCCTGGGAAAAGCTGAAATTTAAGCAATATGTGGCATCTGGTTGAGGATAATAGAGACTTACATATGTAAGCCCTTCTTCTAGGGATAAAAGTTTATTCAAAAATGCATGAGTGAGGCTTTGTGTTAATGTTCTCAAATCTTGGAAAACTTGTAACTTTTGAGATACCAAAGCTTACTTCATGAAAAGTGTATGTGTTAATCTACACAATGGAGTTGAAGTGCATAATGGAGAAGCGTAGATATAGAAATCTAGGACCAACACAATTCCCTTTAACATTTTTACTTCTAATGTTGCTTCCCCTTTCTGAAATAACGACTATAACCAGACTACCGTGTTGGGTTTTTTCTTTATTTTCTATCCTAGCTCTTGAGGAATGATACTGCCAAATGGAACAGTTATAACCAATTGGTACAGCAATTAAACTAATGTCTGTGTGACTTAATTTTTTATTTTTTAAATTCAGACATACTCCTTCAAGATTATCATATCCCATCTTGTCTGCAGTGTAAGAAAGCACTGCCACAAAGATGTTTTGGTTCTGAATTAGATTTTCCGCTTTACACATAAAGTAGTGTGGTTTATTAAAATTTATATTCTGAGGCTTTGTATTGAGGAAAGTGTGTATTCGTCATTTGAGATCCTTGTTAATCAGTAATCTGAAAGATTTTATACACATTGCAAAATTGTATCTTCTTCCTGTGAACTTTATAGAAACTCTTGCCCGAGATGCAGTCTCCTGGCCCAGAGAATGAGGAACAGGATGGCTAGCCTTGGGATCCAGGTTCAAAAGCGGTTTGTAAAGGCATGCATCAGACCACTTAGGGTGGAAAAATTGCACTGTCTTCAGGTTATTGCATAGAAGCCTGTTGAAACCATTCTACTTTCTTGGATCCAAGAATTAGCTTATAGGAAGAAACAAGTAAATTGATTGCTCTACTGTGTTATGATGACTCCCCTAGCTTTTTACAAGATGTGTGAAAACAGAAGAGTACTGTCCATTTAATTGCTTGCACGTGTTTAAATTTCTGAACAGTACTTGTATTTGCCCAAAATACAAATGAAACCTGTTTAATATTGTTTCACATTTGTATTGTGTACTTGATAGAGTATAGTGCTCAATAGAGACTGAGTTAACTTCAATTTTTTCTTCATCTAGATGAGAAATCTTAGTGGTAATTGAGAACATGGAAGTGGAACTTTATTTTTGCTAATGGTGCTAATGGCCATGCAGGCCGCTTCAGGGTATCAGTCAGAATCTACTGCAGAATAACTTGTGTTTTCCTGTTTTCAGTTGATGATGGCTTTTGTTCATTCCTACAGCTGCAGCCATGGTTTTTTTTAGATTAAAATGAACCTTGAGGTTAGACAATTGATAGCTTCTTCTGAACTTCCACATGGGTTCTGTAAGTTGTATACTTTAGACTCAACTTCACGTTCTTCAGATTTTCTTCTCTGGGAAGCAGTTGGATAGTTTTGAACATAGTTTTCATCAACCTGTTTAACGCCTGAGAACTCCAATTTGTGGATTATGAATGTGACTTAATAGCTTCTTTTGGGTTTTTTGGTGGTGGTTTTATTTTCTTTTGGGTGTGGTTTTTTGGTTGTCATCTTTGGTTTGGGTTTTTTTCTGGTCTTCTGAACTGAATCACAACTAAATGTTGGAAATACTTAACTGAATTTTCTGTTGATGATGGGGTATTTACAAACGTAAGATTCCATGGCACAATTTCTAAATTTCCTTTCTTGCCATTTCCCTTCTAAATATGACCAAAAGCCTGTATCTTCCAACTACCTGTTTTTTATCTTTTAGTTTCCCTCCCTGCAGTTTCTAGCACTTGTTTCACAGTCTTCAGCTTCTGCTTGTGTGTTAATGTGCTCTGTCCTTCCCATCACTGGTGTGACTTCATTTCTACGCTATGAGATCTACTCTGCAATCTTGAGTTTAGGTTCAGTTTTCATATATGCCTCTTTACCTGTCTGCAAACCACCCCTGTTAGAACAAGTTGTTTTGACCTACTAGTAGACGGTTGGAAAATGAGATAAAGAAACATGTATGCTCTACCTCTATTGTTATTTTTATCTTGGTTTATCTACTGAGTAAAGATCAAATAGGATCTTGTTATTTGTGTTCTTATATAAAACACATCTTCTCAGAAGAGTTCAAATGTTCAACTCCAAAAATGTTATCATGCACCAGGCTCTGTAAACAAGAAGGTCAAGACTAGAGCCATAGCAGTTACTGACCCTTTCAGGTGCCTTGAAGTTGTGAGAGTTTTCTCTACTGGGTGCTGAACTTTCTGATATATTCCAGTTGACTGTATTAGACATGTAAACTCACTCTGAAAATTAAGGAGAAAAATTGCTTAGCTCTATCTAGAACTACACTGACTTTAATTGTTTAAAATAGTATATTGAAGAGTAATATTAAATCCTACTTGTGAGAAAGGAAATGATGAAAATTGTTATGACAGAAGATTGGAAAGTCTTGAAGATTTCAGATGTGAGCCCCTCCTTGGGATATGGATTTCCATTACTTCTCCCTTACACTCTTAAATTTCACTGTAAAATTTATTTATTTCAAGAATTTAGTGAGTGGCACAATAATAGCTGCAGACCTGTCAACTTTAATTACCAAGGTTTTGTAGTAGTTACAAAAGATATTACTGTAGTATAAGAGAGTACAAAAGGCTTTGTACACCACTGCGTGCCTGGTTTGCTTACCTAAGCTTTTTAGCAAATGGTGGATATAAAGAAAGTGAATTCATTTTTGCAGCATCATACTTTAGGTTTCTTCTGGCCAACACTTCAGGGGAGTTTATTTGGTTTGAAAGTGTTTTCATTTACTAGAATTAAGTAACTTGGGAACATCTTGGGCTTTCTCAGGTTTGGTTTTGTAAAAAAATGTTAATTCAGTCATTTTCCAACTGAGGTATCACTTGGATGACTAGACGCAAAACTGTGAGTAATTCTTTTATGTTTATGTGAAGAGAATAGCCAAGATAGCACAACTGTGTACAGAAGGCAGTATTACAGTTTCTTCTTAATACTGACTGAGCCTATTGAATACTTTCAGTGTAACATAAAAAGTAGGTGTAGCCCCTGAGATCAGTTGTGTTTATACAAGTTTCTGGGAAAAGACAGCTATGCATGCAAGAGGTCCCACGAATGTCCTTTCTGAGGAGAAGGCTGACCAAACCAAACCAGCTGTATGCCTAGATGCCAGAGAAGCTAGTTGGGTCTTATTCTTTCTCACTTTTTTCCTTTTTTTTTTTTTTTTTTAAATACTGTCCTGTATAAAAAGCTTCAATTAGGGACTCCATCAGAGAATTTTGTGAGGTTAATGGTGTCCTATACTTTTCCAGTGGCTCTTTCTGCTGCTTGCTAGTTTTGTTTTGTTTTCTTGTGGTGTCTGTTAGAAGATGTTTCTTTGGAGTTTTTATTTTCCTTTCTCAAAACTTTAATTTCAAATACATAGAAAAATATCAACAGGTCTCCAAGATCAATCTTCAAGTTACACTTCAGCAGTAATCATTATTTTGTAGTTCTAACAACAGTTCTGACCTTTCCCTGAAAAACTGAAAGATGAATTTTCTGAGTGTGTTGTCTCAGGACTTTCTTATGTGTAAGACCTTCTCTCTTTTTCCTTCTTTCCCTTTATATATAGCCATTTTCTCCTGTGAGGTATCCAATTCAAAGGTATATGTCTTCATACTATAACTTCCTTTTTTCAGTTGTAATTCTAGTTGTAGGACTGGTATTTCAAGACACCACCCCTCTGGACCCCCTCAAGTCAGTGCTGTCTTTCCTACCTGAAAGGTAGTTACTGCTAAGCATCTATATTTGTTCAGTTTCGCTCTCTGGTGAGATTGTTGGACTGCCTTAGCTTAAATCACCTTTGGAGGTGCCTGACTTCACAATTGCAATAGATGTGTGTGATGCCAGTTTACCTGTAGCAATACAGTCAGTCAATTGTGCTGCAATAACTTGTGAAGACATGATGACTTGCTCGTTATTTTCCCATGTTATGGACTTTGTTGATTTGTCTTATGTATGTTCTGTTTATGTTTTGTTCTGTTGTTTTGCTTTGCTAGAAGCCAGATTGTAGAAATACTTAGTTTCTAAATAGATTTAGAGTAGTGGTGGGTGGATAGGAGGGTTGATATTTATCACAAATATTGGTTTAAAGAGATAATCGGGCCTATTAAAACAGATCTAATATTTAAGAAGCGTCTATTTGATGAAACAGCTCCATTGTTTTTCATCAGCCACAGCTGTTGTAACTGTTATCTCTATGGAGGCAGATCTCTTGTTATGTAGGTCACATCAAGGAAAAATAGCAGCTGAACACTTGCTTCAAGTATCGTAGAGGGAAATGCAATGAAAACATTGTATATGTTCCCATTGAAATATTTTGAAACAGCGAGAGGAGTCATGTAGTAGACTTCAGCAATTTGTGTTGAGACATGTTGTGAAGGTGGAAAAGTAAGTAAAACCATATCCAAACATCCTTGCCCCATTTAAATCAAAGTAATTTTAAAACAGTATTCCTTGAAGGAATTTTTAAATGGGAGGAAAAGAGAGTACTTACAGGCTTTGTGCCTGGAGATGAGCGGCTTCCCTTGAACTTGAATAGTAAACAGACTCTTCAGGTTTCATTCTCTCTGTTCACCCAGAAAAATATTCTTTTTCACTTGTTTTGTGGGGGAGGGGAGAGGGTAATAGTTTCTGCTGCTTCAGTTTTGAAGCTCTCTGCTGCAGTGGCTTTGCAGATGCTGTGAGTGACTACATACACTTACTGATTTTTAGGGTTTTTTTCAAATCCTTTCTGTTTTCCTGTTGTAAAAATAGAGAAGCTTCTTGAAGAGAAAGAAGAATAACTCAGAAGAAAAATAAATAAGGAGAGTATGGCACCTATTTATGAGACAAATAACATGTTTGATGTAACTTTGGAAGCAAATGTAATTTTTAAGGAATGACACGTTGTGTTAGCATGCCACCATCTTCCTGTGGTACAGATGAAAGGAATAATTTTGAAATCTTCTGGTACAAACAGACCCTTCAGTGTGCTGTATAGTTGTAGTAGTAGCCAGAGAATTTCTTTGGTACAGGGGTCTTAATTTTAGAGCTACCATATACTTGAGCTTTGCTGCTGCTCACTGAGAGCAGATCTGCTGTGAGCTCAGTAGTAAGACTTTTATAATTGTTGTTACTAGTAAAAATAATAAACCAAATGAGGTTTCTGGAGTGCTTTATGTGAATGTTGCTGATTATAGTGCTAATAATTATTTACTTGTAGTTGAATTGAAATATTTTCCACTCTTCTAATGTGTATATTTCTAACACAAAATTTGCATAAGGATATTTAGTATAGAATGTTACTAGACTTGCATTTGAAAGACTGTTCTATGAGACTAAGATGTTGTCCACACCTCTGAAATCTCTAAAAGGTTTTATTAATATTTATGTATCTTTAGTAGATTAAAATATCTTAGAAATTGAATTCTGGACTTTTGATGACAATATTTTTAGTGTCTGACTGCTGATCAGAAAGTAATCAGGCACAACTTCTTTTGCCCATAAATGAATTTATGCATAATACAAATAGCTATGTTATTTGTACTTTTAGTGCAGAATTCATTTTAAGGTACAGTTAGGCAGGACACATGACTGACTTTTTTCTAGTGCCTTGTAAAGCTTCCATCTGATCTCTGTATCTTGTTTGCTGTGTTCTAGCCATATGGTTTAGGCCTTTGTATTTGTTATAGGTAAGATTAATACATGATTCTTTCAGGTATAATTCTGTGGGGAGTAGATGAATTGATAGTACGCTCAGAACACTGTGATCTCTGGATTTGCATTTTACATCTTAAATAGCTAGTAACAAATAATGTGTGAGCATATATATCTATCTAAACCCTGTGTCTTTCCTGCTTGTCAGTCTCTTTAGTTTAATAAACCTCAATTACTATTTTGAGGAACCTTTCTTCACACTGTTTACGCTTTTTAACTTGCAGTGTGGTCTTTTACTGCCACTTTATTATTGACAGATGGAATGGATGCAAATTTTTGGTTTTAACCATATTCTTCCTGTACGTGTTATATTTAACCTTTTTCAGCAAGGGTTCCTGTTAGAATCTAAATTGTTCTGAAAAGTGATATCAATCTAAACACTAAAAGTGAGGTTTTTCAGAAGGTGTAGTGTGAGGCAAATACGAATGTAGTTATCAAGTAGCATGTAAAGGGAGGAGATGTCTTGATTATCTTGTAAAATGTAGATCATTATCTTATCAAAGTTGACTTCTTGATCTAAGGGTTAGACATGACTCTTTATGAATCTGCCATATATTATATACTGTGTGGTTAATAAAACATATCAGTTTATAGTGTCCCTTGAATTAAAGTATGTGAAGGGTAAGGGGCTACTGGGATAAACTCTAAGCTCGGCATTAAAATGAAAAAGTTCAGCACAGATTTTCTTCATTAGCCTTTACATATGAGGAAACGTAGCTATTTTTATTTCTTCCAAGCCTTCATCATTTGAGAATCCAATGACTGTTGTACCTTTGAGGGAATAAATGGTGGTGTGTGAGTACCGATGCAACATTTGTGACATAAGGATATTTTTAAAGAAGCCATAAAAACACATTTCATTGCTTATTAAAGCTGAATAGGGCCTGCAAAAGCAAATTTATATTCCTTTATTTAAACTATCTTGCTATATACTCAGTAACATAGTAGTTCCGATTTGATATGATTTCTTGTAGGCAATTAAAATAATTAAGCTCTCTGTCTTGCTTTCTTTCTAATTAAGTGTTCTTATTCTAGCTGACAAATCAAGACCACCTTCATCAAGCCCTTCCAGTATTATTCGCCGGACTTCCTCATTGGATACACTTGCTGCTCCGTACCTTGCTGGACAGTGGCCTCGTGATAATCATGGACAAGCTGCTCCATGTATGAGAGACAAAGCCACACAGGTAGGACAGATTTTTGTCTTTGGCGTATTTAAATGTGAAGACAGGATTTAAATGCAAGAAGCTTTTCCCTTGAAAACATTCACTTTAGCTTTCTTGCTTGCATATTCCTATTCAATTTCAAATTGCAGGAGGTCCTATCTTCGCTATTACGTATGTGAGTTATTTGTATTCTTCTCTAAGAAAAAGCTGTGAACTGTAATATCTGTTAAGAGTTCCACTTCCTTCTTGCCTGAGAAAAACACTAGTGTATTGCACATCTGTTTGCTCATTGTTCTTGCAGTGTGCAGTACACTAGAATGCACTGGTGTTAAATACTATTTAGTTTAAATTTATACAAGAGAACTTGATGACTCCTTATGTATGTCTGTCTTGAAACAGAATTAAAAAAGCTTCTGTAGTGCCTGTATAAAAGTTATCATAGCCTTTTCTATGATAGGCTGTTCATCCTCTGATTGTAAAAAGCCTTTAATATTTACCTGGAATCTATGCACCAAGTATAGAATTACATACATTGAAGAGCTGCCACATTGAACCATGAATGATGTTCAAATTTAACTCAACTATAAAGTATTTTAGAAGTACCTGATTTGCCAATAGGCTTTAACAGCTTGACAAAATTTCACAAGCTTTTAATGGTTCAGTCCTATGCCATGTGTAAAGACAGAACCAACAAACAACTGAATGAAACTGGTGTTACAAGAGTTATATGCTTATCATGACAGGTGTGTTATCATTCACCTTAAAGGGAGCTGTTGTTACATGGACTCCTACTGTATGCAGAAGTGATTCAAGATGGATTTTTCTGTAAAATATCCCAATGTTTCATTTCCCCTTCTGTGGATGCAATCCGGTGGTGGATTTCTCTAACTTGTAGAGTGAAAGAAAGAGCCAACCATATCGGATTTTAAATCCCTATTCCTAGAGCATGGTTTCAACAACAAGTCTCTGGCATTTCCAAAGAACATAAGCAAAATGCAGTTGGAAGAGAAACTGACAGCATGTGGGACGTAGATGAGTTTGAGCCTGGTTTTGGTTTGGGAATAGTAGCAAACATATCTGCTTTCTGTGATAGTTTAACTTTCAGGTGTAAGGGGAAACATATTTGCAAAGATTAATAGGAAGACTGTAAAGGGCATTGGATATTTCTGCAGAATGAGTATATTTAGTGGTGATTAATGTTAGTATACTGCTGAGTGTGATCTGTTTGCACTTCTTAATTAACAATGTATCAGACCAGTAGAAAATTACAGACATATATCTCTAAGTCCAAAGCTTGTGCTGATATGACACTGATGAGACACTTTTGCTTTTTATCTTTCTAGTGTGCTTGAGAAGCAAAAATTTGAGTTTGGGGCAAGTTTAAAATGTGATTTACAATGGTTAGTTTCTCAGGATAGTATAGGCTCCCCATTTGTATTGTTTAGCGTTTCTGAAGATGTGGTGTTTGGATGAAGTTTCGCTTCTAAGATATTCTGGCTCCAGTGCATAATTTCAGATTTCACAAAGTCTGGTGTGAAATGGATGTGTTCAGATTTCAAAAGCTTAGTGAACAGGAATTGAATCTATTAAGATATAAAAGATGCTGAGTAAGCAGAGTATCTTGATTCTGCGGGTTTATGGCATGGAGAGTAAAGTCATTCAGGAAGCGGACTCAGAAGAGACAGCAATTAGTGTCACGCTTCGGCTTGCAGGCCTTTGTAGAGATGCCCATAGGTCATAGCTGAGAACTGTGTGAGAGATCCCCATTACGCAGAGACAGTCTGTGTGTCAGATTCTTGCTTCGACTGTAGTAGTAGTAGCAGTACTTAATGTAGAGAGATAGAAATCCCTCTTTGTCTATTGGTTATTGGGTCTATGTTTCTTGAAAGCAACTATAAAAAAAATATGGGGAATAAGTAAAAGGAAACTTGCTAAAATAGTATTACATTAATGTCTTGATATAGAGGTTTCCTGTAATTTAATGTCCTATACCTACTCTTGCTCTGAAAAAATTTCTGTTTGTTTTGAGGATGAGCATCAAAGCAACTTTTAATCCTTTAAAGTGAATCAGATATTAATTTATTAAATAAATCTTGAATCTTAAGTCAAATTCTTGAATATAAATTAAATGGAAAGACTGATTAGAGTGTTAATTAGATTCCTGGAGGCAAATGTAATGGTTGTGCTGAGTTGGGAAGTTAGAGTTAGTGGCTAAAACTCCCTGTTCCAGAAGCTAGAGGATAGGATAAGGTTCTAGATTGACATTTGAGAATTGACTAGACAGACTGGGACTCAGGAATGGGGGTTATAAATTACCCAATTTTATCATGAAAATAAGTGTGTGCTTCTTGCTATGAAATAGGGATTTCAAAGCAGCCCTACTAACTTAATTATTCGGATTTGTCCCTGTTAGTTTTTTATTTGGAATGATGAAAATGGAAAACTACTGATAGTGGAGGTTTCATTATACGTAACTTGAATCTGTAACTGAAGCTGATGGGAGTTACAATCTCTATGTTTGGAGTTACACCTCCATTTTCCCTGCAAAGTAGGGATTAATACCACAACATCGAAAGCCTTGTGAGTTTCTGTGCTCTGAGTAGAGAAGGGGTAGGTATGTAAGGTCAGTTTGTGGTTTGCAAGCTGGTAGTCTCAAATATAAGAGCAACTGTTGCATGCTGTAGATGTGAAGGCTTTGAAGTCAAAGTTCTTGTCTGCAGAAGAAAGTGAGATATCAATGACTCCTGAGGCTGAGTTAGCTAGATCACTGCCGTGTGCTAGGAATTGCACTGCAGCAACAGTGAATTTAAAGGAATTTGCTGATTCTTTCAGTGTATAAGCTGCTTCCAGAAATCCTTCCTCCTGGTTCATTAGATACTTTTTTTTTTTTTTTTTTTATCAATGACTCCTGAGGCTGAGTTAGCTAGATCACTGCCGTGTGCTAGGAATTGCACTGCAGCAACAGTGAATTTAAAGGAATTTGCTGATTCTTTCAGTGTATAAGCTGCTTCCAGAAATCCTTCCTCCTGGTTCATTAGATTTTTTTTTTTTTTTTTTTTTGTGTGTGTGGCTGCACGGAAATTCCTGATAGATGTTGTTATCCTTCTTCTTAGTGTTTACAATTCACTGCCTTTGAAGGCCATTCCGGACATGGTTAGGTGGGAATACAAGCTGTCTATAAAGCATGTGGTATTGTTGCAGGCTTGTCTGTGCATTTTGTTACCTTAATAAATGCAGGTGATCTTAATAATACTTCTAATTTCTCAGTATTTTTTCACCACAGTACGTTTGCGAGTTTCTTTATTAAATGTTAATGTCTTTCCTGTTTTAGTGAAACTAGCATAGTATTATCTGTGTTGCTTTCTGCTTGGCTTGAGACAGCTATGAATCTTGACGCCCTTTGAGGTGTTAATTAATTAATTCTCTGCTTTGCAATACTTCTGTATGCCTTGCCTTCCTTTTTCTTGTTCTTCTGAGCAAGAACATGATTGTGAAAATCTGCACCAGTACAGCTTCAAAATGTTTACACCAAGCTACCCTTGCTAATATGTCAGAAATACCAAGGTCAGCATCTGTGCAGGAAATAAAATACACCATCTCCCCCAATTTCACAACTGTCCTACTAGTTCTTCAGAGCTCTATAGCAGCTTGTGGTACATCTGGCTGTTAATGTGCCTTATGCTCAATAATTTGGAGAGGAAACTAGCACATTCCTCTGTTAGAGTAGGTCTTAAAGTTGGGGGTGGGTATTTCCTTTTTTTTTTTTTAATTACATAGTTTTACTCTACTTACTTGTTAAGACTACTAGTCAGTGACTGCTTTTCAGTCGCAGTTCTGAATCTAGCAAATCTTAACACTTTTCTCTCTTCTGATTAATCTCAAAATACTCTGTCAGAAAGTAGGAATTATCTTTTTTTTTAATTAATCCTGTAATCTTCTTGCTGCAGACAGAAAGTGCCTGGGCTGAAGAATATTTAGAAAAGAAGAGAAGCTCGCACAAACGTTCATCATCATGGGGCAGCAATGAACAACTCAAGGAGGTCAGAAATACTATTATTTGAGATACCTTTGGATTACTTTTTTTTGCTTGTGCACACTGTTACTGTGAGTTTTCAGGAAGGCATAAATATTGTACTGCTTTTGTGGGCTTGGGGAAAATAAGAAATAGCAGTTCATTTGGTATTGATTTCATATAACAATGCAGGACTATTAAATTTTTTTATCTGAGTGTGTGGAAAAGAAAGTGTCAGATGCCGGTGACGTTCCTCATCAAAGGAGGAAAACCAGCAGTGGCCAAACTGCTTTCAAATCTGCAAGTTGTTTCATTAAACCTCCAGAGGTATCTTCTGGGCTTCAGCTGACCTGGTAGCCAAGACATTAGGTTTGCAAGAACTAAAATCTAATTTAGTGCTGGCAATAATTATGAATGTTGTGGTAGTAAAGGATTTTAAATAAGTGATGGAACAAATTGGTGAAACTAAGTATGTACCTGAATATATCTGGTGAAATCTAATGTAATTTTTTCCTTTATTAGATCGCAAAATTGCGTCAACAATTGCAGAGAAGCAAACACAGCAGTAGGCATCATCGTGATAAAGAAAGACACTCTCCATTTCATGGTAACCATGCAGCCATTAACCACAGTCAGGTAAGGCTGTACTCTTTATGGACATGCTGGGTAGCTAATATTATTTTTAACTCCTTTGAAGGTTGTGATTTGTCTTAAAAGGAACTTAGAAATACCACATACTGTTAAATACGTTGTAGCTATAGGTGAATTCTATGAAATAGGTGTTTCCTTTGACTTCCTCAAGCAAATGGGGTCCTGAATCTTTTTGTTGCTTGGGTAGGCTGGCTTTGAACTCCCACTTTCAAAGAATTTCAGATAGCTAGATCCTTCCTTAAAGCAAGACTCTTAAAGTGCATTCTGCAGACTCTACAAAAGGATGACAGATAAGTTTAATCTAAAACCATCGATTATCTTTTTCATTACGTATTGCTGTAACAATTGGGAATTTGCATGTGGAATATGGCATGGAGCAGACTGGTGGTAAAATGATACATACTCAAAAAAAAATTGCATTTTCTGTCTTGACAGTAGCACTTGTCTAATCATATGATGAACTGATTTAAACAGCTTACCTGACAAAAGGCTATTCATTGGGATTTTTATGTTACTCTATTAAAAGTGTTTATACTCTGATGGCTTCATTCAGCCTTTGTAACATTTTATTTTTTCCCATCACTTATCATGCCTTGAGACTTTAAGTAGTAATGACTTAAAAAAATTGTGATGGTTAGGCCACCACATCTTCTGTGTGCAGTTGCAGTTTTATCTGAAGACTGTTAATGAGGTCAGGTTCACAGAGAGGTAATATTTTTAGCTCAATTGAGAGCAGGTGGAAAAAAATTCCAGGTTTCTAAACACACAGATCCTTTTTCAAGTCTGTTTTGCTTGAGTGACTTCAAGAAAATTATTAGGAAACTTTGGTAATTTTTTTCAGAAGCAAGCTTCCTCCCCCAGTATCTCATGGATATATATTTATGATAACACACTTTTTTTTTTAACTATTACAAAAAGAACAAGTCACAATTGCTTTGCATGTCAATGTAGTTGAAAGAAACTGTGAAACTATTGGTATTGTGAATTGAGAAAGTACTTCAGCTGTGAAGATTCTCTGTAAATCTAATCATATCCCAATTACTCCTGAAATGCTGTTAGCATTCTTCTAATAAATATTTTACTTTGATACCAGTTAATGAAAACTGTTTCCTTTCTGTTGTTCCATCCTTCCAGAAATAATTTATGCCAGGGAGGGAAACTCTTGTGACAGCATGTGTCCTGCTCTCCAGCTACTTACCTGTTCTGGTAAAGGATGAAATAAAAAATAGAAGGAAGAACCATATACACAGTCTTGAGGAGTCAGGTTCTTTCAGAGATAGAAGTTGGTGCATCTCTTACACTTCAGGACTGGAAATAAGAAAGTAGAACAGTGTTTTGAATTTCTCCTGCACTGTTCTTTTTAATTCCTTCTTTGTATAAAAATTGATAACATCTTTTGTCTCTGACCCTAATTCATCCCTGATGTAGTTAATTTAATTAGGAGTCATGAATTTTCAGGAGTGCCTCTCCTGAAAAATGCCTTGTGAATTCGGTTTGTTATTAGTTTGACTTCTGTGCTGCTGGAAGTACTGTATTTGGGATGTTTTTTAGAATTACATTTTTTGACATAATTTGGGAATTACTTCTTCAGACTCCTTAAATCTTGAAACAGAAACTGTTTCTCTTCTCGTAAACAGGCTGTCTAATATAAATTCCTACATTTTGATCTGCTTTACTGAAGTACAGGTGCAGTGTAGCATCTGCTACTGTTAGCGACTGCTGTAGCTGAAGTCAGAACAGTCCAAAAAGAGAAGACAGACAAATAAATGAACCAGACCCCTTCTAGGACTGTTTTTGAGAACGTGTATGAAAATTGGGGAGACACATTGGGGGGGGCGGAAATAAGTACATTGTAGGTCAAAATATTTGCATCAAGTATTATATCCAAATTTGAGGAACTTATTTGAAGATTTATTTTGTACTTGTGGAAAAGTAAAAAAAAAAAAAAAAACAACAAACAAACCAAAACCCAAAAAGTGTACTAAGAAACCTTTGTAGGCCTTTCAGTACAGTGGAGAATTGCATGCAGTCTAACAGGTTTGGCTTGGTATTCTACAAATCTGTAAGTTTCTGAATGCTGAACTATTGTTAGTGTAAGATATATAATTTTAGTGATTTTTAATTTTGAAAATGAATGATGATGCTACTACTCTGAAAAATACCCCTCCCCCAAATGATGTATATAATTTTTTTTTGCATCATAATTACTATATTATTATGCTCATGAAATTTTATTTCTTGTATGGAGGTCTTTTGCATTATGCCAAATTTTAGAGTACGTGAATAAAATATTGCACAACAGATAATTAGGTTTTGGTCTTGTGAAACAGACTATAAAATATAAACTGAGGCAAAGCAGCTTTTCCAGCATTGTGTTACAAAATAAACCATTGTTTTTCTTGGTAAATTTTGTGCCAGCTGTATTGAGCTACTTGTGAAGGGGTGAAGTTACAGAAGGCTTCAAAAAAGAGTAAGTGAAGTATTAGAGTAACGGCATTTAGAGGCTGATTTCTAAGTCAGAGTGAAAAAACTGTAGGCATCAAGGGCAAAGTTCCTAGGCTTTCTCATTCCTTTCTAGGGAGCTCAGTTCTTGCAGGATTTGTGTAAAGGGCTATGTGGAAACACTTGCAGTTAGTGATTAGAATATTTAGAAATTTTTTTTTATGTTCCAACTTGAAGGAAGCTTGCAGTTGTTGGCTGTAGAGAGTCATACAGAGATTTCTGAGCTCAAGGCATGGGTTCATGACAAGATTTAGAAAATGTGTTAGGAAATTTCTTTAGTAGTCCCTGCACAGAGGCCAGGTAAACTGTGTTTAACCTTTTGGAAATGACTTGCTCTTCTAGTTAAAACTAAAAGAAACAATTAAATGGATTTATTTCCTCTTTTATTCCCTACTAATAGACAGTTAAGCTTTTCCACAATTCTTGAGTTTTACCAAAATCTTGAAGTTGTTCTTACAACCTAAGCCTCCAGCTGTTTTTCTTCTGTGGTTTTTTTTTTGGTTTTTTTTTTTTTTTTGAAGAGAGAAATCTCTCAATCTCTACAGAGTAAGCCTGTTATCTATGCCTGGCCCTCTACTCAGTATCAGGAAGTAGTTGGTGAGGAACTTCATCAAGTCCTTGCTGCTAGCTACGCTTTTTTCCAGAGCAATTTGATGTTGGTTGGTTGGTTATTTTTTTCATGATGCCAGAAATGTTCCATTCTGTCCCTCTTTGCAGGAAGAGGGGTTTGTAGAAAGGTCATAGCCTTCTCAGATGCTTCTGAGAATGTTAGATTTTAAATTAATTCCATGGTACTAAATCTGTAAACAGGAGTCAAACCAGTGGGATCTTCCTTTATGCCCAGTGTTAATATAATAGAGAAATAAGAATTGAGGCCAGAGCTGAAGCCAGACGGAAGAATAAATGGATTAAGTTTTTAAAAATAGTCTTTTTTCCTCAGTGCACTTGGCTGATGTTATGCTGCTACTTGACATTACGAAGCATCAAGCCCCCTCCTTTCACTTTCCCAAGAAGCATGTGTCCTTAATGTCTTACCAATTTGTTCATCCTTAGCAAACACTAATATTGAGACCAGCCGCATGCAGTTTGCAGTGGGTTTTTTTCACTCGTAGCACCTCACATAGGTAGAGATTTCATTTATAGAGTGGAATTACTGTGATGCATTCAACCTTGAGGTGCTTTGATGCTAATATCCAAAAGCATCAAAAGACCTTGAGTTCTGTTTAAAATTCTGTTGCTTGTTGAAAAATTGGAAGAGCTTAAAGCATTTTTCTAAAATGCCTGTGAACAGTTTAGATTTGTCATCACCCAGATTTCATAATCTCATGAGTTTATGCCATACCCATAAGCTTCAGGACTCTAACTGTCCCACACCAAAACTCCCTGACAGTGTGTTACTGTGTGAGCACAGTAATTATTATCCTCTGTCTGTCTCTTTGCTTCATTCTGTGCATTCCCAAATATGCAGATGAGTAGTAAAAGGTCGGTAGCCTATTCCTTTATGTCAGAGGCCAGCTCCATGCAGACCTCTGTTAAGGCAGTATTTCTAGTATAGAGGTTAGTCCACCGAGTAACAGTACCTCTTTCCTTTTCTGCCCTCCAGCACTCAGGCTTAAGAAGTCATCCTTAGTCACTTAGAGAGTACTATTTCTCTTGGAAGTGAAACATGCTGTATTAAAACGTAAGGAACTCTATTGGAGCCATTCATTCTTTTCTACTTTGAGCTCTTCAAATAGCACTATGATTCTAAGAATTTCTGTGGTACACAATCGTATTTAAAAGGTGGAGAATTCCCATATTTTTTGCTAATGGCTGCTTAAATCTTAGACAAGCATACTTGTGTTCCGCTTTCTACTTTTTAAGAAGATCAGTTTGTCCTAGGAACATGTATATTTAATAACTGGGTGCATAAACAGTCTGTATTAGTGCCTAAATTTGTGCTGGTATACCTGTATTATGACTGGATATTGACCTGTATTAGTTTACTAGATTGTTGAGCCAGGGCCTTGTTTGGAACAGAATTAGATGGGTTGCTTTCTTAAAATTTTTTGTGCTCTTCTCCAGTAGTTTGTTTCCTCTTTTTCGTCTCCAGGCCAGATTTTTGAAAGTCTTTCCAAGTTTGGCCATTATGAGAATGTTTATTTCTGTTGACATAAACACAATCACAAGCATTTCCTGAATAGAAGCTTTGGTAGTCCTTGTGCAAGTATCTTTTTTTCTTTTTTTTTTTTTTTTTTTTTTTAATACGGATATCCTAATGTTGCAGTAAAGCAAAGCCAATGTAATTTGTAAGTTTTGCTGCCTTGGAGATTTGTGAGAATAAGTCTGCATTATGATCTGCACTTAAAATTCCCTTGTTTACATTAATTTTTTCCAGACATATTTTATATGGTTTTTGAGAATTTGCATGAGAAGTTGCAGTGCTTTGGTGTCTGTCTATGCACAGTCTTGTTACTTAAAGGAAAAATAAAAACACCACAATAAAAAACACTTTGAAGAGCAGGTGAGAATGCCGCTGTCTTGCAATCAGTAGAGGAGATGTTTTCAATCACAGCACACTAGATTATAGAGACTAGGAATTTTACACAGGAATTCTCCTGTGACTTTAAGTGTCATGCTGTTCTTTGAGTTGAAGTAAATGTTTGCAGGAAGCATTCCATTATCTGTAGTAGTGCCCTTGAAATTTAGGGCAGAATCTCTTGGGGTTCTGGTAGCATGATTTTTAACAGAGGGGATGGATGCTTATGGAGAGGATAGGAAATCTCAAATTTGTGGTGTACCAAATGGGGCTTTGGAAGACTTTAACGTGTTTCCTGAGAATGGAGTTTTAATGCTTACTTTGAAACATTGGATTTTTAAAATGTTAGTCTTTGTTTTGAAGCTACTATATATTAACATTTGCATTTGGAATGGTATTCTTTCTGTGTAAGTCTTCCTAAATTGTTTTGTCAACCTTTTATTCTGGTTTAATATATTTACTATACTGGTCTTCATTCTAGCATAGTGCAATCTTGCATTTGTGGAATAGTTTTCCATCTATGTGGGTCATGTTACTATAGGTAATAGCAGACTTCCATTAAAATATGATCTTAATTAAAATGGTGAATCCAACAGTGAACGAAATGAAATTGTCATATAGCTCACTTCAGAAGGAATGTGAATATATTTTAAAGGGCTTTAGAATTACTTACATTTAAATGATTACTGTTAAATTTTCACTTGTAAATCAATGTCAAACTGGAGGCAGACCATATCAAGGGAAGTTTTGAGACTAGATTGTTGAAAGCTTTTCCTGCTAGAAATTAGATTTGAAACAAAATTCAGGTTGCCTATGTCTCTGTTTAAGGCATCCATTTTAACACGATTGCTGTAGTCTCATATAAATCCTTGATAATGAGGTGTAGATATGTTCTGTTTAAAGGTTTGCTTTTGAGTAGAAATAGTAATTGTGTTTTATAAGTAAATCTACATTGCTTTATCGCTGTCTCTGGTTTTTCAGGCTCCCATCCCAAAGAATGCTCTTGTTCCTGTGGTACCAATTACCAAATCAACAGGATCACGATTCCGAAACAGTGTTGAAGGACTGAATCAGGAGATTGAGATAATAATTAAGGAGACGGGAGACAAAGAGGAACAGCTTGTTGTATGTATCTGTAACCATTATTGCTTTCTATAATTATTTTGGTTTTGTTTTAAGGTTTTTAACTCATAAGCTTCATTTTGCACAGTTTATGAATTAAATATGTCTAGAATAAATTTTGCTTTCTTTAGTAAAGATAATTGAAAAGTCTCTTGTAAAGCAAAAAGCAGCATAGAGCTTGAATCTGAACCTTTTTTCTCTGTGTTTACTATGATGTAATTAGTTTTCCAATAAAATAAGAAACATCAGTAGAACAGGGGAAAAGACAAAAGGCCTGTCTTGAGAGTTTTTGTGGTAACTTTTTCTTCTTATTGCCCATGCTGAACTGTCCTCATCCTAGTCGAAGCATAAACTGCCCGTTTTTAACTTTCATTTTATTTTTAGGTATTTTTAGAGGTAAATTTAGTAAAAAAAAAAGTATCAGAAATACAGGCCACGAAGATGATTAAGGGACTGGAACATCTTTCATATGAGGAGAAGCTGGAAGAGCTGGGACTGTTCAGTCTTGGGAAGAGAAAGCTCAGGGGATATTATCAATGTGTATAAATATCTGATGTGCAGGAATGAAGAGGAGGGGTTTGGACTCTGCTCAGTAGTGCCCAATGACAGGGCAAGAGGCAACGGGCATGATAAAAAAACATTAATTTCAATCTGAACACAAGAAAAACACCTTTCTTGCTTTTTAAAATTTTTTTTTAATCATTTTTAATGTGTGAGGGTGCTCAAAACTGGAACAGGTTGCCCAGAGAGGTTGTGGAATCACTGTCTGTGGAGACACTCAAAACCTGACTGAACAGAGTCCTGGACAGACTGCTCTAGCTGACTCTGCTTGAGCAGTGCTGTTGGACTAGATGATCTCAAAATGGTCCTTTCCAGCCTCAGAAATTCTGTGATTCTGTGAAATCTTACAAGCTGTTGTCCTTAGTTTCCAAACCTGGCTCATTTTATTTTCTGTTGGAGTCTTGTGTAATGAATAAAATTTTCCACTTCAAACAGTTCTGCGACACTCACAAAATCCCTCAGCATTACTGGATATAAAGAAATTGTTAACCCGACAAGAGCAGCAGTCTGATACCTTGTTCTGTTTTGTTTCTAACAGCCTCAAGATATTCCAGATGGGCACCGTGCACCACCTCCATTGGTTCAGCGTAGTAGTAGTACTCGCAGCATTGACACCCAGACGCCTGGTGGAGCAGACAGGGGTAGTAACAACAGCAGCCGCTCCCAGTCCGTATCTCCAGCCTCATTTCTTACCATCTCTAACGAAGGCAGTGAGGAAAGCCCATGTTCTACAGATGATCTTCTTACTGATTCCAGAGATAAAGGTACTGTGTAACTTTAAAAGTTTGACAATGCTAAGCTTCAACTCATTGTTAAAAGAGGGGGTTTGTTTCCCATATCCTAGAATGTTTTTGTGTTTGTTTTTTTTTTTCAAGTGATCTGTTTTTTTCCAAATGCCATGTGTGTACACATACCTAGTGCTCTGTAATTGAAGCTGGATAGATGGGACTGAGGAATATGCTTCCCAAACATATGTTTGTTTTTAAATGATTGATTCTTCAAGTGCTTTAAGCATGTTGAAGAAGCAATAGTGTACAGCGACAGGTGAAACAGCAAAGTAGGCTAGTCCTGTTGATTCTGTCATTTTTTATGATCTTGGACAAAATGGGCAACCTTCCAGCATTTCATACATGCACCCATAAAAATGTAACTGTTTGGGGGGTTTTTTAATTACTTTTTTTAACCAGAAACCTTCTGAGGTATACTAGGTGAATTTTACAATGTAATGTAAACTTATTCTGATTTTTAAGGAATATGGCTTCTGCCCATTTCTTTTGGCACGTTGACAGCACAGGACCATAGATTCAGGTTTGCAGTTACAAACTGAAAGTGTCCAAGAATGAACAGAAATTGTAGAGGGGCCTGAAAATGGTATAAGGAAAGAAGGAAAGGGATTGAGATAAGAAAGCTTATTTGCAAATGAAGACTTGGAGGCGAATGAAAATTTTACAGCATTGAGGTTGAAGTGGGTTTCAATTCAGGGGGCATTTAAAGATAGTTATTGGTTTTTATAGTGTGACACGTTTAAGTAATGAGATACTGTTTCTGCAGAGAATGGGAATAATTCTCCCTTGCCAAAATATGCTACCTCACCAAAACCCAACAACAGCTACATGTTCAAGCGTGAACCTCCAGAGGGCTGTGAAAAAGTGAAAGTCTTTGAGGAAAGCTTGTAAGTTGATCTTTATTATGTAAGAAATAACGTTTAACATTCAGAGTTACCCATTGGTTTATTGATTTTTATGTCGGATCAAAATTATTAGTTCTGTAACTAATACTGTGCTAACAGCCTGATCTTTGTTTCGTGTGACTACATACTGGTATATATGTATATAATTTTTTGCTGGAATTGTGTTAAATCTAAACCTTGAGACTCTTTTTAACACTAGCGTAGCTTGAAAAGGCGCTCTCTTACCTGGCAGGTAGTGGAGGAGGAACTCAATCAGGTACAGAGAGGTGTACTAACAAGCTGTAATAGCTGTAGGATTGTTCTGCTGTAGAGTGAAACAGGATTCTACAGAAGTTGTTACCTAGCTATGGCAGTTCTTCGATACTGCAGTCTCATGCAAAAATCTTTCTGACATCTGGTACTTGCATTCCACACAGACGTGGAATACATGAGTGTAACTATTTCAAGTTCAGCCTTTGTTTAGCACTATTTCTATTTGAAGTTTACAGGATTTTCATTTGGGGAAAAAAAATTATAAATGGGGCTGGATTTTCTGGACACTTGGAGAATCAGCTAACAAGGAAACGTACCCTATTTCATGAACAGAATTACTTTTCAAAGAAGAGTATCTCCTGGAAGAGCAGACTAAAAGATTGGCTTGCTTGGTCTAGTAGAACACAGAGGTGCCTATGGCTGTATTATAAACACATGGAAGAGTGTGAGATTATAGGCTAAAGGACAGTGCTATCAAAAAGAAACTGAGTATAAATTTCTGATGGCTATTTTCCAGATAGGAGATGCTTTGGAGTGGATTCCCATAGTTTGGTCTTAGAATTAGACTAGCTTAGTAGATTTACATTGCAGAGTTAGAGATAGAAACAGAAGGCAGGTACTTGATTGTGAATGCTGTGGTGGGAATACTACATTTTACTCTCTGCATTGAGGTTTTTAAGTAAGATAGGCTCATCTTTTATAGAAATTCAGGCCATACTCAGGTGAACATGCAAAGGAGACGAGAGTCTGGAAAAGGTGATCCGCCTGTGATCACGAACAGCTCTGAGATATGCAATATTAGGAACATTGCTATGCCAGCCTTCTTTCACAAGGCTTGCTGTGTGAAGAGCGTCTGGAGGGAGCAGGGGGCAGAACTTCCTGGATTGTGAAAGTTTCTGGAGAACGTGATTGAGAATACTTTCTCATATATTGAATATGCCAATTTGTGGACAGGGTTTCTGATCTACACCATGAAGTTAGTGTTTTCCTTTGGTTTGGAGACAGCCTGCCTGAAGAACATGCTGTTAATCTTGTAGCATATGTAAACAAGCAGTTTAAACCATTTTGCCATTTGCTGTGTGGTGGGAGTGTCATTAAAGCATTATTGAGTAGCTGAAATACTTCAAGTTTAAACTTCAACTTATCTCTGGTGACATGTTCTGCAATGCATGCCTGCCACTGATAGAATTTGAATGTTCAATGTAATCTTAAAACTATTATGTGTATTTCATTTCTAGGCCAAAGCCATTGCATGAAATTCCAGCCTTCTACTGCCCTGACAAGAACAAAGTGAATTTCATTCCTAAAAGTGGCTCTGCTTTCTGTCTTGTTAGCATCCTCAAGCCACTTCTTCCCACACAGGATCTTACACTTAAGGGCACTACCCACAGCCTGACTGTCTCCTCCGGCATGACGTCCAGTTTGTTGCAGCCCATTTCTATGACTTCTTTGTCTACAAGCACAGATCAAGACAGGATCTCTCGTGGAACAAGTACAGTAATACCACAGACCTCTATACTTCAGCAATCGGCACGTATTGAGGAAGCTGAAGGATAGATTTAGATTGTCTTGACATTTTTCTGGCCAACTACTGGGAAAAATTGGAACCAGTTGACTGGACATTTGTGATCACACTATTTGCATTGTTTTAACAATTTATGGCACTGTCATAATTGAATTGTTTGTATATTTGACAGTTGGTAGCACATTGAGAAGTTCAGGAGGATGCAGCAGCTGATACTCTGCTCTTTCTGCTTATGAAGACTCTGATTTTGTTTCTCTCCTGCTTTTTTAAACACTGGTGAAAACAAAGACTGTCATAATCCTTTGCGATTTAAAGGACCAGTTATTGTGATGCTATGTGTCCTTTGACTTTTTTTCCCATTAAAGCAAAAATCTCAAGACCAACCAGCTGATCCCATTTACCGTTGTAATCTGCAGAGGGAGGGGATAATCAGATGGTTTTGCAAGATGTCTTTTATATGAAAATGTGTATTTTGTAACAAAAATTCGCCTTTTCTGGTGCGTAGCAGATGGTGTTTAGAAGACACATTCCTGGTAATGATTTTTCTTCCCCCCTCCCTCCCCACTTTGTTTGTTTTGTGGGGGTTTTTTTGTAGTGAAGGTTCTTTTTTGCTTGGCTGTTTTGCAGCTGCTGGGACCAAAGGGTTGCTGAAGTATTTCAGCAGTCTCAAATTATATGACCTTGCTGAACAGCCTCAGCCCTAAACAAAATAAGATAAGTTAATACGTTTGAAACTTTTAAAACAGAAGAGTATCCAAAAAGCAGTGTTAGTATATAGTGTACGTTTTTTTTTTTTATATTGGAAGTTTGTGCTTCAGGTAAGTCACATTCTTAAAACTCCTTACATCACAGAATTCCCCCCAGTGTTAGTTTATTGGCTGGAAAATTGCATTTTAAAGCACTTGCCCCAGTATTGTTCTATTTGTCCATAGGATTTTTGTGCAGGGGTGGGGAAAAAACATGTTATCCTCTTACTTGGTATTCTTTCTTCCAGAAAACATGCCACTTGCCTCTTACAGGCTCGTTTGGCTACTTATGGGATTATTCAGCCTGAATCATTAATCACTCTTGGCACAAATTTGCTCTGACTTAACTCATCACTGTATTATAGATCCTGGCCATGTAATACTGAAATATCTGTGCATGATTTCCTTCCTCTTGTCATAGTGGTGTCTTGTGTGTCCGTTGAAGGTGATGGTTTGCCAGGTGTGATATCTGTTACACAGAAGTTTACAGCAGCAGATACATTCTCCCTTTTTGACTAGCAACTTCGGCTGGCACGTAAAACTGAGGATTTTCTGACAGTTGGTCTGTCCTGATATGCAGCAGTTTATGGTTCTTTTGAAATCATAAGAGGAGATGAAAATGAGGGGGGAAGGCAATTGCAAACGGAAACTGTTCAGGAACTTCAGCAAAGTTGCTCGTGTTCCTGGGGTGCGTTACTTGGGTTTAAGTAAATAGAATATAGATATGCAAACAACTGCAGTGACCGGAATGCCGGTGTCTTAATAACTTAAAACCAAGTCGACCTTGTACCTCTTTCACAGAGTTAGATTCAGTAAGGTCAAAGTAAGTGTCATCATGGACAGTCTCTGGGTCTGACTATTGGTCTGTTAGACGTGAGCGGTTCTCACTGGCTTGCATATACTTAGCTTCCATGGATCAGTTGCATACTCAGGTCCCCTCATAACTGCATCTATTTAAAGGTGGTAATGCAAATAAAACAATTTTGTTCATTGTTTAATATGCTAAACTTGAATGCAAATGCTTCACTTGGGAGAAAAGAAGAAAAACCCCTCAGACCTCTGCAGATAATAGTCATAGTTTTGATGCACATTTCCTGTTCCTTTAAATCCTACATAAATAACTGATAGCAATGTACTTTACTCAGCAAGTAAGTGCAAATCATGTTAGCATGCGCAAGTCCTGTCATAGTATACTAAGACCCTTTTTAAAAATTATGCAAAAAATCAGCAAATGAAAAACATACCAGGAAGTATTAAAATATTATACTGGTTAAATTAGCAAATGAGCAAAACTTGGTTTACTGTCTTTCCTCCCATCAGAATAGATAGGATTGTGTGGGTGGGGACTAAAGAAATCTGTTTTGAAGTAACAGCTCTGATTTACACTGAAGGTGGTGTTGAGGGACAGAGTTTCAAAATAAGCACCTTTGTGCATCAAATGTACGTGATTTGGGCAGTTGATAATACTTTCCTTGGTTTTGTGGGTATTAATTAGTTTCTTCTGAAACAGTGCAATTTGAAGTTTAAACTTTACTGCTTTAGATAAGTTTGTTTAAACCTGGTATGGCTGGATCCATGGAAGATCAGATCATTCAGGTGAAGGAGTGCTTCTAAGTCTGTTTTCTATTTCTGTAACAGTAGCATGTAAAGAGCTTTTCCGTCAATGCCAAACTGCCTAGTGCTTTATCAGGGGATCTTAACTGAAAGGTTAAGAACCAAAGGGCTAAAGTTAACAAATAGCCTTTATTACAGCCTTGACACTTAACTGACTTCACCAAAACTGCATTCTGGTGTTTGCTTTCATCACAGAGTGACTCTCCCATATAGCAGTGGGCTTTCTTACCCTAGGACATTCTTTTGCACCTGTTATAGTAGTATTTGAGCATCTTTTTGGTAGTTTACATAATATGTTATTGGACAATGTGCTGTACAAATTAGTGAGCTGCTCTGATAAAACCCAAATGTAAATGTGTGAGATTTTTGCTTTTTATAAAAACTGCATTCAGGACAACATTTAGTCTTTTTTTATATGTAGGACAACTCTACTATTGCTGTGGCAGCTCTACTTTATTATGAATTCACACTAAAGACTCAGAATTAAGAAATATGACAGCTCATGTTCCAAGACCAGCTTTTACATGTGTGCATACAGAAATTAGCCTTAAACTTTTATGTGCTGTCTTGTGCCATAGTAGAGCTGTTAGATGAAGTATTTAAATCAATTTCAAAATAGCTTTGAGAGTGCATGGAGCTTTTTAAACATTCTTTTATTTATAGAGTGGGATATCCATTTTTTTAGGGGTTGACCCATGCATTACTCAAATGCAGTTTTACTGAAAAGAGTTCTTTTGGCATACTTTAAATCCTAACTATGCATAGACCTAGTCAATTCCTTGATTGCCTACCTTGTAGCTTAAATTAAAGGTCTGTTTTTATGCACAACTTGAAACACTTGATACTCCTGTTTTCTTGGTATTTACACTTGTATTTACACTTAGAGGCTAGTGGTAGTATTCGGTAACACTGACAGCTGATTTTGAGATACACCATTTAGTGTTCCTCCAGTTGTAAATTCTATTTAAGTCACAAGGAAGGAGGTCATTGTTGTAATAAAGGTCTGTGATGGCAGCTATGACTATTGGAATCCTTTTTTTAAAAACTCAAGGCACAAGGGAAAAGGACTTCTTTGTTAAAGTTTGACCTGCTTCAGCTATTCTTTCCTTGCTTGGTGTGGTGCCATAATCCTGTAGCAACAAATTTAAGTACTTGTAAAAATAACAGATAACGCTTGAGTGCATATATCTTGGAAGGAAATTCTTGATTGCATACACATATCCCAAGTGAGGAAAAAAGGGAGTGAAAATTCAATATTGCATACTGTGGAAGTAAATGATTACTGTGTTTGATTTTATGTAAAGCAATACCAGCTCTTTAAAAGTATGTTTACTCTCAGGGCTTTTTTTTTTTTGGTTTGTTCTAAAATACAGTTTACTGGAATTCAGAATCTGAGATTGGTTTGGGTTTTTTTGTTTGGTTTTTTTTTTCTTCCCAAAAGGCTCAGCTTCAGTGTTTTCCAACAAAGTCGTGTCCGTTAACCTTTCTTCTGCCTCAGGCCTAACTTCTTATTGCTTATCGAGTTTAATAGAATTCAGTGGTACAGCAATAACTCCTTGCTGAAGTATTATCTGTCTGCTTCCTGCCATCTCTGAAATGCTAACTGATGTCTTCACAGTAACTCACAGCCAGTGATGTCCATATTTCTTTCCTGAATGTTACTTTGCCTGACAACTTCTCTGTGAAACTGAAAGGGCCAATGAGAATGCATAGTCACCAGAGACTTGCAGTTACAAAGTTCAGCGACTTCTTAGGTATCTTGATTTAAATTTGACTCATCATGCATATGCACACAGTCTGCATAGGTCTGCTGCTTTTTGTATTTTATGGTTTGAGGCAGGACTGGTATTTGTAAGAATCTTTTTTTATGGGTAGACTTGCACACCTGTTCTCATCCAGAATTGATGTGCACTTACACGTATCTCCAAAGCAAAGCTTGTGTGTCATTCTCACTTGTTCTCATGAAATGACTGTAACCCCAAAAAAGCTCTTGACATAAAAGCATCCAAACTCTTGAGAATGTCAGGAGTCTTCTTTCTCCATATAGTTCATAGTTTAAGTGTGTGCCCTTCAACAAATGCCATAGCCTAAAGATGTCATTGTGGCTTAGACCCAAGCCAGGCTGGCACCTATTGAAACAAAAATGTTTGCTCTTAGGTAATAGAAGATACACTTTTCCTAACCTAGGGAGGTGAAAAGCACTGTGGAAGAATTGGTTTCATTGCAATCAAAGAATTCTTATGGAATTGTTTTTCAAAACCTAGAAAACAAAATGACCACTTATTGCAAGATGTACCTATATATTTTCTTGACATGAGTTTTTAGGTGTCTAGCAACTCTGAAAATCAGTTCTGCTCTTTACATTTTATGTATACGAAGAATGACCTAGATGCATTGTTTTGAAACTGTTACTTTACCTGTCAAGTCAGTTGGGGAGAGAATGTTAACTATTCACAAGTGTTCTGTGAATTTCCAGTCCTGTACCCCAGCTGAACTGCAACAGTCTCTTTCTAAATGCTCCAAAATGTAAGTGGAGTCCTGTTACTGCTTGATTTCGTTGCATGTCATCAGTAAATACTTAAGGTATGGTCTTTGTTTAATAGTTCTTCACTGGGATTTGTATTTGACTACAGAGACTTCTGTAGTGTTGACAGGTCTGTCTGAATTGTGGAAGAGGGCTTGGCCTGATAATGCTGAAAAGAAACATTTCCTACACAATTTCTTTTTTGAACAACTCTCTTTGGAAAATTTAGTAAACTAAAAAAATGGAAACCCTTTCTGGACACCTCATCCACCCTAATTGTCAATGTACTGATAGTTAAAGTATTGCTTGTCTTTATTCTAAATTACTTCATTTATTGAAATGTGCCGTTTTTGAGGGTAGCAATCAAGGGCTGTCTAAAACTGCCATTAGATTTGCCTTTGTATGGAATTGGCTGATATGTTTTCCTCTGTTACACTGTGATAACTTGTGGAGGTGTTCTTGCATATGTTGTACTGATAGGTTACTTGTTGCATGTAAGGCGATTTTTGTAAGTAAGAGGAATTCCAGGGATGTTCTGCAAAAAGGGCCTATTCTGAGGTGATGTACACTGGTGTAAAACTGGAGCAGCTCAACTAATTTCAATGGAATTCTTGATTTACACTAGTCTCTTTGCTATGTGTAGTTATGCCAGTACTATTTTGCACAATGTTATTTTGAATCTTAAGTTCTGACTTGTGAACTGTTTCTACTGAAAACAGTGAAAATTTTACAAACTGCAATAGTGGAATGTTGTTGGGATTTTTTTGTTTGTTTGTTTTTTGCCTAAAATAAAAAGTCATCACTTTGGCTATGGGCTAATCTTGGATTTATTTTTAGTAGTGAGGGGTTTTGTGTGCTCTGACAACCTGAAGATTTGCCTGAGGATTTATCGAGAGTAGTAGTTGTTTACTTCAAATAAAATAAGCACTTTTAACCCTTTCAGAAGAAATTCATCAGGGTGGAAATCTCTGTATAACCCATACCCTTATTCCTCCAGTGCATCCTCAGAATAGTCCTGTGAATCTGCCTTTCCCCATGTCCATCTGCAGTAGGTTTGGTCAGTTCCTGAGCACTTTACAATTCCACTATTAGGGAAAAATGCCACAAGTCCTGGCTTTTGGGAACAGAGGGATTTGGCATGTGTTCTCCTGGGAGTGAAGGTTTGGGAACAGGACTAAGAAACTAGATTCCTGCTGGTAGGTTCGTACTGCTATTCAGTAGAATACAACTGCTGAAGCCTACCTGGGAAGGTACTTAGGCTGTTTGTTGAAATAATCTCATATTCTACATGTTTCTGTTCACTCAAAACAAGCTTCTTTGTTCACGAACAGAATTTGGAGCCAGAGCTGCTTTATGCTAGAAATAAAAGCTATCTTTGGGAGTCTCTTGCTAGCTCTTTAAGTCTAATTTGTCTAAATGACTTGGAGCAACTCTCCTGCAAAATCATTGTCAGCTGTCTTTCATTCCAGAATGAAGAGTCAGGTAGAAGATTCACCTGAATCTTGAGGAACTGAAGGATTTCCAGCATGTACCCCTCAAAGCGGGGCTGGCTTGTGCTTTTCCACACGTGGGAAAGGTTGGGCCCGTACATGAGACAGCAGCATCAAGTTCCCAAGAGTTTGCATTCCACAGCAGGGTCCGTGGGTAAATTTGCACTTAACTCAGAAACTACGTGGTTAAAATGTTAAGGAGGAATTCACAGCTGTTGAAGTTTGGAGCACATTACAAGAGACTTTTCTGTATTTGATGCTTTCTCCCATTTTATTCTTTTTTACCTGCTCAGTTATCTGCAGATGTTTGCCTGTCCCCAGGTGAACAGGACCTTATTCTTTATTAAATAGGCTATGACCCAATTCTCTATTAAACTATTTCTTCACCACTAATTACGAATCTAGTATTTATGGTTTCATGCGTGTAAGGATGATTTTACTGTAAATACATCTGGAGTTTAAATTCTTTTTGCACCTTGTATTTTACATATAGGTAAACTGCAAGACACGTGAATAAGCTGACGAAGATAATCTTTGAAGACAAAGAGAACTGAAAGAGTAACTGTGTGGTGAGCATGACAGTCCTCCAATTCTTGATTCACTGTTTTCATTGTGAGCAGTTATGTTCTTCAGTTAAATAGCTGCTCATTTTGTTTCTTCAGATGGTAAGAGGGAGAACCAGGCAGGACACTGACTAGGAGAGTTTCTCCAGTATCTCAGGTTTTTCTTAGTTAAGCCTGACTGCATAGCAAATTGGTATAGAAGTGTAAGTCAAGGCTGCATGTGTTTTATCCTATCCCCTTGTCTCCTTGTCTCCTCCTGGCCCTCTGCTCGGCATTTGCAATCTGTGTAAGATGGTCATCCCACCTAGACTTTCAAATGCTACTGTCTTAAAATATTCCTTCTGTATACAGCATTTGCAGAAGCACTGCTCAGCTGCCAGGCATGTACTGATTAAGTGCTCTGTAGAGTAGACTTAGAATAGGGTGGAGGAAATAAATCAGGTGAAGTTCTCTCACACATGAAATAGGCTGGGTTCATAACCACTGCATGTACCCTTTTTCCAAGTTGTACTCCTGCCAAATGAGCCTTGTTTGCCTCCTGTAGCAGTCTGTTTGCAGAATCTTGCTTTACATACCTGGTGCCACGGCCCAGTAACTGATGCTTGTATTGACATAAGAAAATGTCTGTAATGAATAGCAGTTTCACATTGTGGTGACATTGCTTGTAGGAAAGAAAAAAAAAATCAGTATTACATTAAAAACTAATTACTGCAAGCAAAGTAGAACACTGTTCATTAATTCCTACATTTCTGAGCATGGGTACATAACTGCTCTGATTAAGCTCTTGATTAAGAAACTGTTTGTTATGCAGTACGTTGTGAATGCCTTTTCTAACTATAGATGTGTAGCTGACCAGTGTAAAAACTGTTTTACTGTAAACACTAATTTCACTGTTGATGGAATGACTATTAGGGAAGTTTCCCTGTTTCCTAGCAGCAGGTGTTCCACTACAAGTCTGTGAACAGTGAGCACTGCCAGAATTCATCTTGCTGTGTGTGTCAGGCAGGGAGGAGGTGAGAATCTATTCTATTTGCACTTCTTCATCTTTCTGAACCTCTGAAGTTAATTACAAGTTAGGGCAGAACTTGACCTACAACATCTTGTACTGGACAAATTAACAAAAAGGCTACATCTTGACCTAGCCCAGATCTTTTGTGTGGCTCTTGCAAATTCGAGATTTTTAATCGTGTCTTAAAATATTCTTCTCTATACAGAGGTCACAGAAGTGCTGCTCAGCTGGAAGACGTGTTCAGGTGCTGCATTGGGTAGATGAAGAGCTACAGCAGAATTTGATTTACAGTTTACAGGTAAGTTTACCTGTAATTGCTCCAGTGGATACAGTTAACATCAGCTGGGAAACTACAAACTAGGCTGAGCAGTCAGATAATTACAAGTTACTTCTCTCTTAAGATGAAATTTTTGTTTCCATTTTCTGTTTAAATAGAGTGGTCTGGCTTTTTTTAAAAAACAAGATAAAACCCAGACCATTCTCAGCCTTTTGTGAGATGTGGATATATAATCCCTTGTTAAGAGGTTGCTAGCAGCATGTTCCTGCGGCATGTACGGAACAATTCCCTTTCCCCATACAGAAAATGAACTTTCTAAATGTCTTTTGATGCCGTTGTAAGCCTGAAGTTGACCTTCAGGTTTCTGGGACATGTTTGCTGATTTCCAGCAAATTTCTTCAAATAAAACTGCAAGAGTATGTCCTTGCCTGAGAGCAGGATGGGTGGCAGCGTTCTCTTCCAGCTGTGTAACAGGTGCTATCCCAAATTGCCAATATCCATCCACATTGTAAGACAAATACGTGGAGAGTGGCAGGTCACTTAGTTCAGGAGTCAGTAGTTAAGGAGTTCTCTGGACAGCTAACGCAGCTCTTCAAGGACTGTAGTTCCACAAATGTGTCTGCAGTTGTATTGCCTGTTTAAAACAGTATCATCTACCTGCCAGTTTTTTCCTTCCACAGCACCTTCATTTGTGCCATAACTGTCTTCAGAGCCACAGCCCCAGTTAAAATAGCCTTTAAAACTTACTGCGTTGCAGTCAGAGCTGACAGGATCTGAAATTCGAGGGCAGCTGGAGTCTGTGTAAACTAAAAGAAATGTTCAAACTGTGTCCTGCAGTATAATTCTCCATGGTCTAAGGTTCACTGGAACCCACAGAGGGTTGAATTTATTTTTTGTGCTGCAATAAGTTAATTACACGTTAAGGCAGAGATTGACCAATATTGTCTTATACTTGACAAATTCACAAAAGGGCTACATCCTGGCCTAATCTGGATATGTATTTTGTGTGTTTCTTTGGCAATATCAAAATTTTAGATGGGGGATTCTCAAGTGTAGTAGAAACAGTGCAAAACCTGTGGCCAATCTCCCCTTTGCCAAAAGAGGTCCTATGAAATTGCAGATAGCCAGCAGAACAATTCTAAAGCTTTCAAAATGCAGTTAAAAATAAAAAAAGTTGTGGCTTCCTCAGGGTTGGGAAATGCTACCATCATCCTATCCACTTCTATGTCCCAAATAAGTTTTGCTGTCTCAGAGGTGTGAGTCCTAAGCATGTGATTTCCTTAAAGATAAAACAATTAAAAAGAGTCCATTGTATGCCCTGGAGTATTTTCCTGGAACAAGTATTTGCCTGGTAACCCCAGAGATTTTATTTTTAGAAGACCATGGGATAAAAAGTAATTAGCTAGCTCTAGTTCCGCCCTCCCTCACTTTTTTTTTTCTCCTCTGTGATGCATCAGAAAACAAATCTTTTCTGCATGGAACCATACCAGCTTAATAGGCTTTCAGACAGCTCCAAAATGTCCCAAACCCAAAGTGTTAGAGACTGATTTTCTCTTTAAGCTCAGAGTAGGATTCTTTAGTGCTGTTCTCCTTGAAACTTAGATGTCCAGTGTTATGCCTGATGATGATGTATGTTTGGAGCAAGATTTTAAGCATTCTTTACAATTGTAAAATTAGTCTGTTGTGAAGACCACTGTAACAAAATATCATAAATATTTGCCCATTGGATGAGTCTATAAACATTAAGCAGTTCATCTGCTGAATATCCAGTGGCATCTGGATTCGAAAGGAGATCCAGATCTGCAAAAAGACTGAACCACGTTGATAACAACTTCAGTCATATTCTGAACAGCTAGAAAAAAAGGTAAGACAAAATAATGTTTTTGTTAAATCTAATAAGACCTTTTGAAATAATAAAATATTTACATTAATCTCAGGATATTTCTGTAGGCAAGCAAATAATAACTGATGTATTTTCTTGTCTCCCAACAAACCGGAAATGCTGCCTTAACTTGAATTGATTGGTACATGCAGTGAGCTGGGAGACTCAGTTGCTTCACAATTTGAGTGCAGTTTAAAGCATGTTACAGATGATCTAGAATTGAGGACTTACTGAAGTAGAAACTGCTGGTGTTTCTTACCAAAAAATGTCATAATCCAATATAGAACACAATCTGTTTAAATCATCTCTGCCTGCCTCAGCGTGAGTTCCATAACGTGAGACTGAGTACAGCCGGAGTCAAATACTGTCTGATAAGAGTGTTTATGTTACTTTTTTCTCTTCTCTTACTGACACATTTTCTGGCATTAGTGGAACTTAGAGTATGAAAAGCATAGAACAAATTCTCTCTCTGTGCCAGGAGCGTAGTACTGCTGTCTAACATTGTAGTGTCTAGAGCTGTGGTAACCTTTCAAGTAATGGAAGCCTAAAAGGACAGTAGGACTTGAGATCACATGTTGGTTTATTTTT